ACCCCTTAAGCAGTGAGTGGGCAAAAGCCTAGGACAGTGCAGGCCAGGGTGGAGGTTTACACTCCTCCCTAATCAAAACACCCTGCTGGGGCCTGGCCATGCCCCACCTCAGCTGAATATCATGGAAAGGAAGGGAGGGCTGCTCTAGTGCCCCCCAGCTTCTAGACTGAGCCACAGCAGGCATGTGCCTGCATTTCTTCAGTCTAGAGGGAATGTCTGTACAGCTGAAAACCAGTTGAACCTAGGCAGGTTAGACTACTCTGCAAAGATTGAATCAGCTCAGGCTTTCTGAATGTCTGTCCCTAACCATATTGTTATCTGTTATAGACATACCCCAGATAGCTTTAGGGTTATGTTACACATTACATTTAGACCATATTAAGGACACTTAAAATATGAATGTCTGCATGTTAAGCTTATTAACTCATGGTAAGTGCCCTCTGGGCATGCCTATATGTGCAATTAATGAGCCTGAATTTTCTGCATAGAAAATTCAGGTGCATAAGGATGCATATCTGCATATATGCTTGCACCAGGAGCAAACTAAATCCAACAGGAGCAACCTAGTTTAGGGTTGCTCCTGCCCTGTTCTGCCCTACTGCAGCAGTCAGGGGGAGCTCCAGGCTCCCCTGAGTGCCAGCCCTGGCCTGGCAGGAGGCTGTGGAGGCAGCCCTGGGCTGGCAGGGGCACAGAGGTCAGGCCTGGGCTCCAGAGGGGAGCAGGAGCTGTCCCAGTTCCAGGAACAGCTCTCTCTCAGTCATACCAAGATTGGAGCTGCCCCCACAGCTTGGACAGCTTGCACACCTCTCCCCCATAGGTGTCAGGGGCAGTCCTGATCTCCACATGGCTGGAAAGGAGTTGCCTCCTGGCAAATTTGCCCCCAATGGATGCACATTCAGATGTGTGTGGGGGTGAAGTTTCATACACCTGAATTTTCTACGTAGAAAATTCAGGTGCATTAATTGCACATGTAGTCACACCCAGCATGTTGTAATTTTAACTCTGCTTTACATTACACAGATGTATTATGGTTAAGTGTAATACCTAACTTCAATCTTAGACTACTTCCCTCATGCACCAGTAACAGTGTAACCACAGCCTCCTGGGGTAGGTACAATGAGGACTGCCCTGGGGCTCTGGGTCAGTGTGTGTGTGGGTTTTGTACCCTGGGTTGAGCTTCATGCTATTGCAGCTGAACTAAAATCATCCCTGTGTGAGGCAGTTTAAAGCCACCTGGGGTATATCTGTGAAAACTGCACTCACATTTTTGGGCTGAAATATGGACAGATCTTTTCAGTAATAGGATGTCTTTCTTCAGGTTGTCATGAGCTAAAAGGAACAATTACTCAATGTTATAACAACAATGAAGAGCAAGGCAGTTCTCTTCAACCTGCTCCTAAAGCTAGTCGAGTGCAGAATGAAAAAAAGTCAGTCTCATGATCTTTCCATCCCTCCTGGCTGCCAGCTGGGAGGTGCTCTGTAGCTTTCTGTAGAAGCTACTGCTGGTCTTTCAAGCTACCTGGTGTGTCTCCACCTAGTTCTGAGAACTTAAGTCCCAGCTCTCAGGCTTTCTGTTGCAATAGTACTAACTTCAAGCATCCAGACACCAGAATGCAGACCCCGCCAAGCCCAGAGGTATATTTGGTACAAAAAACACATAAGATTGTTTAAAAAATGCACTGTGGTTTATCTGCCTGTGCTTTTTGAAATGTTAGGATACATTCAGGTTACATTTTCAACCAGTTCCACACAAGTGTAAGGTTTAGGACCTTGCTTGTTTTAAAATTAAAGCTGAGTACATGGGCACAGAACATGTACATTATATTGGTGTTTATATCAGTTTTGTACACAAATGTAAATTAGACCAGGAACTGAAGCAGACAGACTTCCGATTATGCTGTAGTAGGCACTATTATAGTACCTTACTGCTAGGTGGCAGGGAGCAAGAAATAGCTGGTTTGAACTGAGCAGAAGACTACTCTTAAATAACAGCAGCTATAACTACTGTTATTTTCCCCCCTGGGATAAGTGTAAACCAGATTCTTGTAAGTTACCCCACAGTAGGGCTACATGTCATGTCTCTGCTCCCTTTTTAACTAGTGTCATGATAGGTTACACTGATACAAACTTGTGTGCTCAGACCCTGAGATTCTTACGTAGCCACCTGCTTCCAGGTGCTGGAGCTTTAAGAAAATGCCAAGTACATTGTATTCCATTTAAGTGTGTATCGCTGGAACTGGGGGGAAAAAAACCCATGCTCTAACCTAGTGTGCGCACTTATCCAAGCTTGATAATAACAATGTGCATTAAGAACACAGTGGGTGCATCAACACGAGATACTGCAGTTGCCTAATTAGCTGCACAGTAGAGCGTCATCATCTACACGAGAGGTAATATTAGGTCAGAGTAAACTAATTAACTCTCTTGTTGGACAGCACTGTCCAAAACAAGTACTGTTCTATGGTGGTTATTTACTCCACCGCAACACATGGGTAGATGCTGACTTGGGCTAGCTGTGGCATGAAGGTGCTAGAGTGCAGGGCTGCCTGTGGGCTAGCCCTGCACTGTAGCACCCTCATGCGACAGCCACCCCTTCCACAGCACATTGAGCTGGGCAGAAGCAGCCCTAAGCTGGCTGGCTGACCTTCCAGGCTCCCTGCCAGCTGGGGCTCCCCTGCCCTGGCTCAACATGTTGCAGTCCTGGGAGTAATTAACTCCGGTGCAAACTGCATTGGAGTTTCTTGTGTTGCATTAATATTCATGTGTAGATGCTTTCAGTGGTGTGGTGCTATGAGCCCTGGAAAAGACTGGGTCCTGCCATTTTCAAGGCTTCTAATAGCAACCCTTGGGCACATGCTTCCTCATCTCTGTTTCTGTCCCAGTTTAACCTTCATATTTTCCCATGGAGTAATTTCTACCCCAGATGCATATTTTGCATACAGTATCTTAAAGTTAATTACTTCTAAAATTTGTTTGTTTTAGGACATTGTCACTGGCACCGCAGTGCACAATATCCCCAAAGAACAGCCAGCTTACATGAATGGTTTGCTCTTTGTAGATGAAAAACTGCCTATGTTACCCCAGGTGTGAATGTGTTTTTCCATATGGGGTAACAACTTACCCCAAGCCCATGTTAACACATTGGGGTAACTTGTTACCCCAATGCAATTTCTGTACAAATGACAGGCCTAGACCTGTTGGGCCACTTCGGGTGGATGCATCTGGAAGGTCAGCATTCATTCATACCTCATTCATATCCACATCAGGTATCCATGGTAACTAATGGATGGTCATCTTCCACTCTGCTTTTGCTTTTGACGGGGAACTCACCCTAGTTTCCTATGTTCCAAAGAAGTCCAAAGTTGTGCTATTTCTCTCAAACATGCACCATGACCTGTCAGTGGGTGGGGGGGCAAAGAAAGCCAGACATCATCTATGACTACAATAAAATCACAGGTGGAGTGGATAACTGTGGCAGGGCACCTTTGGGTGCCTGCAATTTTAAGGGCAGAGGCAGGCAGCTACCAGGTGCCTGATGAGGGCAGTCATTTTGAACACTAGGCATATAAAGGCTGCAGTTTGGTGGGCATAGTGTAGAGTTGCCCGGTGAGGGGTTTGGGGCAGAATTAGCCCAGGGTTTGGCACAAGGCTGAACCATGTAGAGTAGTTCAGCCTCTACATGGAACTCGAGGGAACCAAAGGACTGTGTGGCGACACCAGTATGGGTGTAGTGAAGCCTGATGGCCCAGGGAAGTTGCTCAGGGAGGAGCAGGGCAGTGGAGTGTGGCCTGGTAAGGGGCAGTATGCCAGAGGCCCTGGTGAGAGAGGGGAGCAGTGGAAGAGGCCTCCTTTGAGAGGAGAGGTGGTATGAATGAATGTGTGTGTGCAGCCCAACTTTGGACTCAGTTTGCTCCAGTCTCAGACCAGGAGTAATATTAATCTGGATGCCATCTGTGAGACTTGGACTGTGGTGTAGGGGAGGAACGGTGCCACAGATAGCGCTCCCTGGCATCAGGGCAAGAACGGGCAGCCTCCTGCCTAATTAGAACTAATTAAGAAATAAGGCATGGCAGGTGAGTGAGGTGGATGGTTAGCCCAGAGACAGGTGGGTGGGCTGGCATGTGGTCCGGCCTTGAGCTTGCCCCCTTTCACAATAACCTTGGCCACTTAGTCCATATGACTACTTGCAGACAGAAAATCAACAGGTGGCCAATAAGACTAGTTTTCAATATGCTGGAAGTGGCTGCCATTGCCAGCCTTATCATTTAATTAGGTCACCGTGCAAAGTGGAAGCAAAGATCACATTTAAGAAGATGGCCCTTTTTTTTTGCAGGAGTTTGGAGAACAGTTGATTGATGGTGAGAGAGAGAGAGAAAGATCCACAGGGGGCAAAGGAGCACTGGCCAAAGATAGAAGCAACTGCCCCAGCCCCAAAGAGCCCGGCAGAAATACTCCTTAACCAGGTGTTTCTGGAGGGAAGGGGCCGCAAATTCAAACCCCACTATAAAGAAGAGCCCGGAGCAGGCAGGCAGGGAGAGTGCAGGACTGGAAGGAGAGGAGCTGGGTCGAGCAACGTTGTGGGAAAACTTGAGAGCAACCTGGAGAGCTGGCAGGAGGCTTCTGCAGAGAGGGAGCTCCCCAGAGAAGACTTAGAGGAAGGTTTGGCAGTACCCGGAACTGCTAGCGATCTTGCCGGCAGAGCCTGGCTGGGGAAAATACCGTAAAAACCCTAATAGAGGGGCACTCCGGAAGAAAGGTACCGTAAAGACCCTAAAAGGGGTGCAAGCACAAATTATCAATGGCAGACCCAGTGGGGTGAGGGGGCTGTAATGATCTCAATAAGATGCTCATGAAGAGCTGCCATAAAGATGGGAACAGGTGAAAGAGAAAGTGACCTCACCGAATATATATTTTTTTCTTTTTTTGCCAAAAAGACGGGGGAACAATAATCCAGGACGGGAGAGCTTGGTTTCTTTTTTTTGACAGAGGCCCTGGGAGAGAACCTGACAGCCGAACATTGATGAAAGGATGATTTGATACCAGGTGGAACGGGCAAAGGTGCAGGGGATGGTGGAGCCCTCAGGAACATAGGACAGTGGACGACAACCAACTAGAACTACGTTCCCAGGTACTGAATCTACTCCCATAAACACCAAGTCGTGGTAGGCGAGGACGTGGGTGTGTGGACCTCCAGTTAGGACTCATCCCTGACATCAGTCAACAGACTGAGGTCCTATGGGGATATAAACAGAATATATATATATATATATATATATATATATATACTTCTCTATTGAAAGAGAAAACAATAGGCCGGTCAGAGAAAAAAAAGGAGATAACCACTTCTACCCTGAAACTGAGAGCAGCTGGAAAAGCAAAGACTCTTGGGTGGGGGGGGTACTTAACTAGATACCTGACAGACGGTCAAATAAAACGAATGATGGATACGCGTAATCTGTCCAAGTCTGTCAAGTCTGTTATGACTGCCCTAAATTACAAATTGTCACTATGTACCCCAGTAGAACCTTCTGCAAGCATGAGTGGACGTTTTGCTTTTTGTTCAAAGGCAGGTGACTGCAAAACCCGGAAATGATGCAGGTCATCTGTCATTGGATGCTCAGAAAAGGGCCAGAGAGCTGGACTTTAGCAAGCAGGAGGCAGCAGTCTGTAGCAGTCTGCAAACTGCCATGAGAGGTAAGTGCTGATGACACTTGCGTTCTATGAATCCTGCGATACTGAGTACTCTGCTTATGTGTACACTGGATAAGTGAATTTACTGACCTGTATCAAGACCTGAGGTGTCAAACAAATCTGAGCCCCAGACTAGATCTGGACTGCTGGGCTCTCCTTGGGTTAGATCCAGACTGCAAAGACCCTCTCAAACTGGATCCAGATCTGGCAGTGGCAGCAAGGCAAACGGCAGTGAAGAGCTGAGCAGCAGCAGCAAGGTACATGGAGGGATGAGGGTTAACACAGCTGTTGTTCACCCCTCTGCCACCAATGTATGTGCCCATTGGGCCTTCATAGAAGGGAATTTGGTGGCAGCCTTTGCCTTGCTGACACTGCCTCTGAATTCTTGGCCTCTCTGGGAGCCCCACAGTCACAGTTGAATGGTTTCTAAGGATGGATGCTTGATATCCCTGACCTAAAGCACCTGTTCCAGCATACAACGGTTATGCCCTTCTGCATTTTTTTTTCTTTGGGCATGTAGAGAATCTGCCAGTGGGTGCATGGGCTTGATTCACCCTTCCATTGTTGTTCTCAACCTGAGGTCATTTTATATATTTCATTGTGTGTGTTATCAACAGTGGAAAATCAACCATTCTCAGTACTGGAAAAGGGTCAGCATACTTATGTAACACAATAGAGCAGGTCACACTGAGGCTGCTGCTAAGTAGCAATCAGTGCTGACAGAAATGGGTAACACTGCAGGTGATGATGCTTCTTTCTGTTCCTGCTGCTACTCCTGTGTGCAGCAATATATCAACCCTAATTACATAGTTGGTATTTGCCATAGTTATGCAGCACACACAGATATAATGTTCAGGTGATGCTGTTTTCTATCTTTTCATCCCACTGCATATAAGAGAAGTGGGGAGTAGTCTCAGCTGCTATTCTTTCTGTGGAAGGTCAGTTTAACGTCCTTTATTACTATAAACCTTAGTTAACTTCTAACACAGTACTGTGAAGGGTTTTCCCTCCCTCACTAGGTGGGTTGCAGAAGCGTGTGATCTGAGGGAGGCTGTAGAAATTGGAAGTAAAATAAAGTGTTTTCTCTCCCTCTGGAGGCTGGTGCTCCCTGTAGCTAACCCAGGAAAAGGTGCGTGTTGCTCTACCTCTATAAAAGTAGTGCCAGATTTTAAGAAATAGTAGTTTTGCTTCCATCTTTCAAATTCTCTTGATGCTATCAGGTGCCTGGAGCTGCAGAGAGATGGTACTGAAAAATACTCGTGCCCAAAAACATAGGCAGGATATTCCAACCAGCTGCCAATGATGATGACTAAGAAGAGTCTAGAGAGGACAGGTTCAGTCCTGGGTACAGTGCAATCTGAGGAGAGGTAAAGACAGAGAGAGGACTGTTAGCAACTAGCAAACAAAGATATTTCAGGAATCATTACATGTGACAAGGACAGGGCTGGAGGATCCAGGAGAGTATCAGGGCAAGTCATGCTCAAATGCTAGGGATGCAGAATGGAAAGAGAGCAACTGAATTATAAGTTAAGTGTTTTGCTAAGACAGATGACATCTGCTATACAAGTTCCAACAGCCAACATGACAGGATGCCCACAAAGATCTCATTGAAGCCTATTGTGCTCTTCAGACTACACTCTGCTAACTGATGGGGGATCTTCCCACTTCCTGATATGTTTGCACCTAGCAAGCATCAAGAATCACTGGACAGGTGGGGTATAATTCACCTTCCCACTATGTTTCTTTTATGGTGGAGTACATTGCACTTCTGGCAGGAAACAGTCTTCAGAATATAACTTTTATTTTGTCCTTGCCCTACTGGAGGAAGAAAGTGGTTCCTCAAGTTCTCCCTTCCCATGAAACGACCCAAAAGGATCTAGCCTTATTTTGGTTGATGCTGCATACCAGTAACTCTTATTATCAGATTCTTTGCGGGTGTTGAAAATACTATTGTGCAATGGGAATAATTGTGCAAATATTTGGTCCAGATAGAATCCACTACTATCTGGTACTTGCCCCACTGTAGGAAATGTATCAGGAGCGGGTGTAGGGTATGGAAGGAACTGATTTAATGTGGTAGAATTTCACACTTCCACATTCAAGTCTTTCCATGGAGAAAAAAGAAAGAATGAAAGAAAAGACCTAAATATATGAGGAAATTTTTGCTGTCAAAAGAATTGTCCGTTTTCAAATTATTTACAAGGAAAAATGTAAAAAAACTACAAATAGACTCTCTCATGGCAATAGACCAAATTGAAAATAGAAAATAAGTCGAGAACCAAAACTGTATATGTACTCCTGACTTTTTGGTTAGAGTAATAACTTGCAGAGTCAGCATTTAGTATATGTAAATAAAACAGATTTCTCACATGCATGCAGCATGAGAGAGATGTTATAATTCAGGTAATTTCTTATGGAAAAATATCTGTATTTGAGGGATATTTATTATTTAAATATATTGCATAAAAATAAACAAGTAATATTTATGTAACAAGAGATGTAGACAGAACACAGGTACACTTACTGTACACTTACTATAAGCTAAATCCAGCAATTAGCCATTATTTCTAGAACATCTACCTCTGGTCACAAAAAAAAAAAAGAAGTTATTTTTCCCCTATGGAAAAAAAGTCTGATTTAAGTGAGCAGGTTGTTAAGAGATTGGAATCTTAAGCTTTTCTACAAGATGTATTAACCTCTGCTGTAACTTCCTATATTAGTACGATCCCTCCATCCATTAGCAGAATATCCATCAAGCAGATGTATCTCACTGCAAAGGTTGGGCCCACATTAATCCTAGTACTTGTCATTAGGCATTTAAGTATAACATACATTGCCTATTGTTTTGTTAAACAGCAGAGCATTACAATATGTAGATTCACTATATCTTTCTCTCTCCAGATAAATCCAGATTATTACTTCTGTAGTTTACTCTGACCCAAACACTAAGAGCCAGATTCTATTTCACCTATTAGGCACATAAGTGGACTTAAATGCTTAAGTATGATTTTGTGTCCCACCATGTTTTAGTCCTGAAAAATCCATTAAGGCATTTATTTGTGTAATTCGCCACCACCTGACCCTTCAGATTGAGTCACAAATAAGCAGCAAGAAGGTAGGAGGACCCAACTACCTTTTCCATGATCTTTTTTAGAGATTCAAGCAAGGTGGAAGAGAGTTGCACTTAAGTGCCTTAGTCCAGTTACACACCTTATAGGTGGAATAGAATCTGGCCCCTAGTTTAATCTCAATACACTAGACGCTTGCTTGCAGCAACATTGAATGAGAGTGTTTCTCCTGGGAACATTTTTTCTTGCTTTTATTACTGACCTGGTAACAGCAATATAACTTGCACATAAGAAAAAACATTTGTGAAGCGGGAAGGTAATTTTGTGTCATGATGAATGGGCAGATCCTCCTTGGCATCAGGTTACACACTAGTTATTTTTCTACCAAAACCAGACAAAAGGCCAAGAAGTCTCTCACTTAAAGAACAAGTCAAGATTATCAGAGACTGTCACGCTTCTGGAGTTAATCAACACCAAGAAGCAGTCAAGTGGGAATGGCACAGAGAGGTTGCTTGCAGAATCTGAAAGCTGAGGGATAAGCTTTCAGCTGATGATGAAAATGGGTTGATGAAGGGTTGTCATGAATGTGAGTACAAAGGAAAGTCCCTCATGTTGATGAGGCTCTTTACAGGGGTCAAGTAGAAGAGGGCAGAGAGAGCTATGATTCCTGGGCCTGCAATTACGGAAAGTCTCAACTTGCCCTTTCAGTGGGACATATTGTAATGCTCTGCTGCTTAACTGCAGACTTTTGAGATGAGTAACTGTTAGTTTACACAAGATTTTAAGAAGCCCCTTAAAATGGAGGGAAACACGGAGAGAAACTAGTTGCTGAACAATGGCAGAGTGAAAGATTTCCTTACCATTTGTCCTCAGCTGACATCTACATGGCTCAGGAAACAAGACTTTATCTGGAAAGTTGTGTGATTGAGGACATATATAAAAAAGGAGACCCCAGAAGATGGGAAAGTCTCATAGGTCAGGAGAAGTGTGGTTGGTTGTGCTACCGTGGGTGGGAGTGACAAATTTCTTCTGTGCATGATTGGGAAGTCAGTCACCCTTACTGCATTCTGGAAGACATCACCATGCTTTCTCTTGATTAAGACAGTTCAGCAAATGTCGGGATGTAAGGTGAACTGTTAATCAACTGGCTGAAAAAATGGGATCAGCAGGTTTGTCTCCAGAGCTGTAAAACATTCCCCTCACTAGACAACTGCTCTGCATATTCCTAAGAGTGGTGCTCACTAACATTCAGTACAAATCTCACTCCCCAGCACTACGTTTCTGATGCCACCTCTGGATCAAGGTGTGATTGAGGACAGAAAGTAATGTTAACAATCAAAGAACACAAATTAGACCTCTGTTGCTCCTAACACGGACTCCTGTACAGATTTTCAGACAGCTCTGAAATCTATGAATATGCTAGATTACATTCATTTTGCTTGGACAAGATTATAAAACCAATTATTTCCACCTCTTTCAAGAAAAGTACATTTTTGTGCCAGAAGAAAATGCAAAATGAGGGTATGGAAAAGTCTGATGATCCTCTGAATGATGTTCCATTTCCTGACAACATGACAAAAAGGGGTGCTATAGCTATTGGGGCTATAACTAAGGACTTGCTCATATTCAGAGTCAACCAATGAGGAGTTACTCAGCACGGCAGCTGAAGCAAAGCTAGAAGAGTGAGTGTGAGTCGAAAGAACAAGTAATCGAGGTCGTAAAAATGATTTCAGTGAAATTTCACTTCTGATAAATTCATAGATGCTAGAGGCTTTGATTGTCTTATAGGCTAGCACTTCTCACAGCTAGAAGGGCTAAGTGACAGGGTTAGTGGGTCTGTTGGAGACTCTGAATCCTGTCCCCAAAATAAAATGGCACTGAGAAGAGGCAGAGTGACTTATCACACAAAATGAGTGTGTTTACCCTTTTAAAAACAATTTACATGTTGATAGCCACTGTAGAATGAACTTTATAGTGTAAACTCAAATCACTACTGCTCCTTTGATACAGTATACATGAAAACACCAAAAATACTTTTCGTCTCCCAGAAAATGTTGTAAAAATGCACAGAGAGGGACAGATTTGATGCCACCTATTACGCACGTAAGTAGATTTAGTAGCCTAAGTGTGTTTCTGTTCCATCCTGTTTGAATTTCTGAAAAATGGTTAATACAAAAGGAGGCTGGGTCCTCTTTATTTCCTCACTGCTTTTTTGTGACTCAGTCTCAAGGGTCAAATGACAGCATACATTACAAAACAGCCAAAGACCCACGTAGGCTATAAGTAAGCTGCTCAGGCTTCTGTGGCATTTTGGAACAGCAGGCTGGAATTCTGCAGGTTTCATTGACACTAAATAAAAATCTGTGTGTTTATGAATGAATATAAAAATAAGCACAGCTGGGAGAGCAGCCCTGTTGTTGTAATTTAGATATTGAATTAATTTTCCCCCTACTTTTACAGGGATCAGTTCTCAGCCCTAACCTCTCCTGTTACCCATTATCTCAGCACAGCACTGCATGTCCAGTTTCCCTAAAAGAACATCTAAGTACTCTTCATGCCTTTGAGAAAACCTTGGATTGTCCAAAGCAAGCTCAAAACAATCTGCTGTCTCTTTCCTCATTGTTTCATTGGTTGGAATTCTTTAGGGAGATGGAGCAGTGGAAAAAGTTTTTCTAACAGGACAGTTTTAAAGTAGTTCCTGACAGCTTAATCCATTCATTATGTTGACAATTAAAACCAAAGCCTCTAAGTGATGTTGGGAGATGAGATGAGGAAGCTGAGGCTGCAATGGCCTATGTCATACTGTTTGTCTGTGCCCAGCTTGCTAAATGATCCAGATACCTCTGTATCAGTGACTTGCATTCACTATATTTCTCCTCTCTAATTCCTTATTGATAAGAGTCGCATATCAACCACTCCATTGTTGTGCCTAGTATCAATGTCAGGTTGACTGACCTGTAATTACCCAGGTCACCCCGCTTACCCTTTGAAATATCATCATGGTGGTGCTTTTCATCCAGGTCTCTGGAATTTCCTCATGTTTCTGAGATTAATTAATACTTAACATCAGCAGTTAATCCCCAGGTAACTTCTTTGAAACTCTTTAAGTGAAAGTTATTTAGAAGTGATTGCCAAACAACAGCTACTTACTTTAAACATTAAACCTTCTCTTTAGTTATTGATGAAATATTAAATATTGTTTCATCACCACAATGTAGTGAAACGGCATTTAGTCTTGTTCAAGCACAGACCAGAGTATTTATCTAAACACTTCTCTGCCTGTCATTTGACAGTCCCACCAGCTCCATGACAGAATGGACTTCTGCCAGGTGTCAGAATTCCTTGCATTTCAGATGTATTATTAAAAAAGTCTATCCTAATTTCCTTTGCCCTGCTCCGAAAGAAATTTTAACAATGCCTGTTCATGGTCCTCACCAGGTATGTAATCCCATGTGAACATAGTAAAGACACTGTGCCCCCCCATATCATCAAACATGCCACAGTGCTCCCCACTAGCAGCAGTTTAAAGGTGGCCTCAGGGCACCATCAGT